GGCTGTAAGCCAGAATTTTGTTTAGCTCAATCGTGTTTGAGCCTTGGGGCGCGTGTGTGAAGCTACCGTAGCTGTTAGGTTCTCTAAAGGTGCTACTGGTGTAGTTTCTGCAGACTTTCGGACAGCGAAGAGAGTGTAGCACCTGGTCACGTATCCTTGCTGTGGGCCAGGATTCATTCATTGGAGACGCAGCTCTGGGGTCAAAGCAGGGCCATTGACAGCTGTCGGGCCTTTCAGGCTGACGAAAGCGCTCGTTACCAGGTGTTAGCATCGCTTGTCCAGGAAATTCGTTGTGATCTTGATAGCATCAAGCGCCTCCTCCAAAGCTTGCAGGGCAGAATCCAACGTTGTGAAGAAACCCTCGACCTGCATTCTCTTGATTGATTTTCTTGATTCTGTAACCGAGTGAGCTAGAGAAACATGCAGCGTTTTGCCAAGCGGGAGCCGAACGATCAGGGGGCAGGTACATCGGCCGAGGCCGCTTCCAAGAGGCTGGAGAACCATCTCAGGATTTTGAGACCCGACTTGGAACCTAGGCTTAATTTCCCATGGGAAAGAAGCAAAGTCCTTAGTGCCATGTTTGAAGAAGGTGGGCGTGGTAAGCCGTATAACCTTGCTTCCGCTGTGTGTGCCAAAATGCCGAGGATCGTGCCACCGCAAAGCACCCAGACTCTTAGGCCAGGCGATGTCACGCAAAAGTCTCAGGATTTGCCTGCTGCCACAAAGCCATCTGCTTTGTTTGAGCGTGCGCTGGGGGTCCCTAAGCTTAGGTCAGGGTGCAAAGCCGGGGTTGATCGTGAGAATGCTATCAGGCGTTGGTCGTGTGTACTTAGTCATGCTCCAAAGGCATCTAAGCTCGGTGCTTCCATTTGGTGCGTAGACGGTCTTGATGCATTGCCGGCGATCTCCCAGACCCTTGCAGGTAAGGCCACCAGCACAATCTTGAAGCGTGCCAGGTTCAGCGCAAAGTACGTCAGGGAGTGTACTGCCATGCACCTCACCGCATTCCCCGTGTCGATCAAAGCTTTCATCGCCTTCCTTAAACCCCTTGTGAGCAAAGGTGAAAGCAGTGCCATCCGAGAAGCAGCAGAGACCATCAACTTCCTTGAACATGTTCTGGACATGGAAGTGGAAGACGATCTCTTGGAGCACCCGTGGATAAAGGGTGCGTTGAGAGGTGCCAGCATTAGGAAGTCTGACCCCCGCAGGTCGAGGGTCCTTACGACCGAGGAGGTTTTGTTGCTGGAAGGTGCTCTCATCGATGAACTGCTAGATAAGATCGATGCTTTTGCCCTGGGTGTTTTTCTGTTCCAGCTGTATGCTCGTGCCAGAGTCTCTGACTTGCGTAACATTGCCAAGCTCGAGCTGGACCTTACTGATGGACAGGGGTTCATTGAGGTCCGTACTTATGACCACAAAAACTGTCGACTGAACAGTCCAGGGGCATGCTTGATCTTGGTGGCCCCGTACAAAGGCATCCACTCCAAACCGTGGGGTGCAGCTTGGGTCAAGGCTGCCAGTGCAGTGGGCTTCAACTTTGAAAAAGGTCACCATGGTCCCCTCTTACCGCGTCAGGCCGTGGACTACTCCTGGAGCTCAGAGGCTGTGAATGCCTCTGAAACCACAGCGTGGGTCCGCGAGATCTTAATGCATCTGGGGGTCAGCTCTGAGTCAGCTTGCACTTTTCTTCACATGGGCTGAAAGCAACCACTTTAAGTTGGGTCTCTAAAGCGGGGTACGCAGAAAGAACCCAGCTTGTGCTTGGCCATCATTCTTTGGGGCCGTCAGGTAAGACTCAGGAGGCATACGCTAGGGAGGTGCAAGCCCAGCCGTTGCGTGACTTGGTTGAATGCCTCAATGCCATTCATCGTGGCGTGTTCTTACCAGACCGCGCCAGGAGCGGCATGATGGCTCCAGGAGCATCAGTGTCCGCTTGGAGGTTCTCTGCGCCGTCGGAGCAAATTCCAAATGCACCACCTGGGGCAACCGAGCGTGCAGCCGAGGAGCCGATACCATCCTGTGAAAGCACTGGGAAGATCCCAGGTCCATCAAACGAGGATGACCCGTCTGCCGATGAGACTGAAAGCAGCGGCCCTAAGACGATTTTGATTATGAAACCATCTGTGATGGTTCGTCAGCCACAGAGAAGATCCCGAGCATCTTCATGGGCCCAGATTTGGATGTTTTCCAAAATCCCAAGACCAAGAGCCTCCATTCTAGGGCCAAAGGGGCCACAGGGAAGCTCACGTGTGGGCGATCGGCCCAAGGGATGAAACCTTTCAATGGGAAGGTGTTCAGTCGTCACTGGAAGTGCAAGCAGTGTATGAGCTCTAAGCCCATTCGAGACTCGGGTGCAATGTCAGCCTTTCTTGCGAAAGTGCAAGACAAGTGACCCATGCTTGTGCCGTACAAACCAGGGTTTGTGTGAGCAGTCATGACTTGCTCTCAGCAAGATTGTTCTTGGCCTGCTGGGTTCAGCCATCAATTCGGGAAATTGATGGGCCTCTCGTGGATGCCACGTGGGCCAGCAGACGAACAAGCTTGTTTGGGATCGCGGTCCGAGGAAGTGCGTCAAATCGTGTGCTACAGTATTCTGCTCGAGAAGTGTCAATGTTCACTCTTTGCTGACCTTTTTTTTTTCTCTCGATGCTGTTGAATGTGAGTAGCCAGATCGCACCCTGAAGAACTGGCTCCTGCCGAGAGAAGAGCCAGGGTCCGAGACCAGGCAACAAGACTCAAGGGTATTCCCATGACTGGGCAGTCAGAATGCACGCACGCATCCTATGACCTGGTCATGAAGATGATGACCGACAACTGCGTCCATTATCTGCCACCGAGCAAATTCATTACTCGTGAGGCGGAGCTTCGCCACGACAAGCCCCAGAAAGAGCTTAACGTCCAAGGATCGTCGATCATTGTCAAGCCTAAAGAGCCTGACCAAAGTTGCGACACGTCTACCGCCCTCAGTCTCCATCATGCCTTGCAGAGGCGCAGCCTTGCGCTTGATGTGGTCGGTGCAACAGACTACTTCAGAGTCCAAGCCTTCTCGGATTTCTTGATGAGCCATCTGCACGAGCCCGCCACGCAAGGCTTTAAACCTACCACTGTTCAGCAAGTTTTGACGGCAGACCGGGCTGCGTGGGTACGCCTTCAGAGCTTACTCTGGATGGCATTCGCACAGACAGTGCCGGCAACCTTCCGCTTGACGCCCTCTGGGCCAAACTTGAAAATGATCCGAAGGTTGTCTTCCATCTGTTGCCGCAAGCATCCTCAGGCCACGCAGCGTCCGGTTCAGCCAAGCGCGGCGCAGACCAAGATGTCTTGGTCCGCGGATCATATGCACACGGGGCACTGGTTGGGTTGCGCAAGAACGTCGCTGCTTTCCCTGAGGTGTGCAGACTGATACGCCGTTGCATAAGGCAAAGCGTGCCGGGCCCCCCTTTCACCACTTTCACGCTGGGGAAAAATTTGATGGCCGGGGCAAAAACAACGAACGTGGCCTCCCCAACGCTATCTTAAAAATCTCCACCTTTAGTCAGGGCGGAATTTGGGTAGAGTGTGACACAGGCCCGCACACATGCCCGGCACCAGGCCGTGCCGATCTCAAGGGAAACATCCTTGACTTTGTGAACGACAGGATCATTCTGGACCCTACCAAAAGGCATTGCCAAGCTCCTTGGTCAGGAGGTGACAGGATCGTGTTAGTTGCCTTCGTTGCGAAGTTCCATGAGAGATTGGTGCCTGAGGACCGAAAACGGCTCGAAGACTTGGGTTTCTCCCTGCCAATCGTTGGAGCCTTTCACGACGCACGTGAAACCACCTCACCGACCGGGCCCGAGGTTGGTACCTCCCCCGTTAGGGTTCTTTGTGGGTCTAGTCCTCTCTCCCCTAGAAAGTTTAAGTGCGTGGTTGGGATACCTTGGCATTTATCGAGAAGGCAGTGTCGGCGGGCCATCCCACACACTTGCTCAACGGGTTACCTGCCCCAATGAAGGAAACCCTTGACACCCTCGCAGGCATGAGCATGCATGAGATTGGTGCGCACAGGGCGTCACAACTCAGAAAATGGGTCCTGAAGATCCGCGAAGTTCAGGAACATGAAGAAGAGATACGAGACAACATGCCAGCTCACTGCCAAGAGGTGCTCGAGCGCAAGAGGTTGGCCATCTTCGACGAGCTTCTCAGAGAAGCTGGTCACCGTGACACCGACATGGTGCAGGACATTGCTCGTGGCTTCGACTTGAGCGGTCCTACACCGGGACGCCGAGAGTTCAAGCCAAAATTGACTCTTGCATCTATGCCTGTGCGTGAGCTTCACCGTGCCGCGCCTCTCATGCGAGAGGTAACGATGGCCAACACTGGATCATCCGGGGATGCCGTCCTGGATGAAGCGCTCTACCAGGCGACCATGAAGGAGGTGAGTAGGGGGTGGTTGGCCGGACCCTTGGACACCACCTCCCTGGGACCCACATCAGTGGTGTCCCAAAGGTTCGGGATATGGCAGGGGGACAAATGTCGCCCCATAGATGATTTCAAGGCATCCTGTGTTAACGCCACGGCCTCTTCTGTGGACAGCGTGGCAGTTCACTCTGCCGACACTGTAGCCGCCGGGCTATGCTACAGAATGCACCACGACACTAAATGCCGCAATCATGGTGGAGCGCACACCGTGGATGGGATTTGCACAAGGCTTACAAAAACCTGCCCCTGAGCAACCAAGCTAGGGACGAAGCCTTCCTCTCGGTATTCAATCCGCGGACAAACATAGCACAGTTGTTCTCTCAGAAGGTACTGCCTTTCGGGGCGAGATCGTCCGTACATGGTTTCATTCGCACTTCCTTCGGAATGTGGAGGGTCGGACTCACTCTACTGCTCCTCCATTGGAGCATCTTCGTGGACGACTACATAGGTGCTGAAGTCCCCCCGCTTGCCAAGGTGTTTGAACTGTGCGTGGAGACTCTGTTCCGCATCTTAGGTTGGGAAACCTCTGCAGATAAAGATCAGCCGTTCGGTCCGATCTCAATTGCCCTAGGAATTGAGCTTGACACCACAGAGGCCAAAACCGGCTTCGTGTACCTCCGGAACAGCAGCAAAAGGAAACAAGAACTCATCGACTTGATCTCTGACATCCTATCCCGCGGGCTCCTAACTTCCAAGGAGCGCCAACGCCTGAGGGGCAGGATTCAGTTTGCATCAAATCAAGTGGCCGGGAAGCGCGCCGGCCTCGCTTACAAGGCGCTGTCCAGACATCTTGTGAGCGGCGACCCCAGGGTCGGAGGTGATCTCCAACGAAGTCTGCTCTTCCTGCGTGACAATTTTCTCGAGGGCCCACCTCGAACCCTGTGTTCCAACATGCTGCACCTCTGGCACATGTACGTGGACGCCTCACATGACGGCGACAGGGTAGGGCTAGGAGGGGTACTAATTTCTGGATCAGGGTGCAAGGTTGCGTGCTTCAGCGTGTGGGCATGCGACGAGCTCAGATCTTTGATTAGTCCCAACAGTGGGAACCCTATCTTTGAATATG